TATGCCATCCATTTATTTATTTATTACTAACACATCCATTCATCAATAATCAATCGAATAATCAATCGAATAAATCATCAAAAACATCATCACCAATATTAATCAATCAAATAATAATTTGCTTTTCGGAATTCAAAATTCACTAACGTTCGCGAACATTTGTTTTTGTTATTATTGTTATTGTTTAATGTTATTACTTTCTCTCAAACGCCATCTATTGATTTTAATTTTCAAATGTTATTTTTTTTCATCATTTTTAAAAAATTCCTAAAAATATATGTAGCGATAATACCGAAATTGGATACAAAATATTCAACCGAACAAGTAGCAAAAAATGTTTGAACATGTTGAAACATTCATTCATTTTAGCCATCGTCATCATCATCATCTTCATTTGGCCATTTTGTATCATTTTGTTTTTCGACATAGAAGAAAAAAGATACAAAAAAAACGATACATTTGTAGCAAACTTACCTACATACACACACAAAAACAGAAGAAAGGGTTAAGAAGGGTTAAGAAAAAAAATCTTTTATTTTTTATGAAATTCAAACAAAAACATTTAAAACATATAAAAAACGACAAACGAAATAAAGGAATGTTTTTGGAAAAATTATGCCATTTGATTTTGATTTAGTTATTGATTGATTGATTTTGCATCATCGAATTGGATTAAAGGGTTAAAGGGTTAANTGTTTGAAAAATTCAACTTTTTCTCCGCATCCAAATGTTTGAAGGTAATATGATGATGATGAGAAACAGAAACAGAAAACGATGTTTAAATCACGATTCTAATCATGATGATCATCATGGAAATGAAACGAAACGAAAAAAGTTTTTTTTTTTTTTTGTTTTCAAAGTTTCGTCGTCATCAAATCAAATCAAACCAAAATCTGATTTTGGTTTTGGTTTTGGTTTTTTGAAGTTAACCATGGTTCGTACGTCATTCACCCAAAAACAAAAATTCCTGCTAAATAAATTCTTTTTTCCCTTTATTTTGATCCAGTTATAAGTCTTCTCTCTTCTTGTTGCTGGAGTAATTAACACATCCATTTTAACCATTCAGTCGGTACCACCTACGCATCTTGTTTGTTTGTTTGTTTACCGTAATAATTAATTAAAAATTGAATTAAGAAATTATTCAATTAATCATAATCAACAACAACAATGAAAACAACGACAACAACAACAACAAATTTCATTTGGTTCCCATTGGAAACCTGATGTCTGACCAGAAACAAAACCAGAAAACCGAAAACCAGAAAAAAATTGTCATAAATAATTAATGATGATGAGGAAAAAAGTGAAGAATATTTTACGAAAAGTAACGAAAATGAAATGAAAATTTCAAAATAAAAAAAAATCGGATCATATTACAAATACGGAAATGAAACATTTTTTTTACATTTACATTCATTCAACTACAGTGATAACAGGACAATCTTTGGTGCTTTTAAAAAATCATTATATTTCACTATTCGTTTTTCCCACAACATTTGCACTTGATACATACAGATGATGATGATATATAGCAGAGCTGGCCAAACTGCGGCTCGCGAGCCGCATGTGGCTCGCGGGCCACA